CATTGTTCTAATGGTTATGAAAACAATTATTGATGGCAGGAATTCAGTGGGTGTGTACTTCACCCGCACCATCACCATACTGTGCCCTGCTACAACCCCCCCCCCCCCCCACTCCACCCATGCTGTGCGGGGCGTATTACACATTATGGGATAACCGACTGTCTGTCCATTCCTGTCTGCTCGTTATGCTGCCCTTCCTTTTGAAAATTGTCTGCTTTATCGACTTCCTTCAAGACCACACGTTAGCCTCTTATCACGCCCTCTTACCACTCTCAGGGAGCCGGCTCTTCTATACAATAGTTACCACTCAGTCCCCAAGGTGAAAGAGTGTCCGGGCATATGACTTGTTACGTGTACTTATTTGCGATTCGTTTGGGCTGTCACGTGTGGTGATTAGTGTTGGGTAAGGCTAGGCCAGGTCAGGTCAGACTAGGCTAGGTAAGGCTAGGCCAGGTAAGGCTCAGGTCTGGTCAGGTCTGGCTAGGCCAGGTCAGGCCAGGCCAGGCTAGGCAGGGTGAGAGAAGTAAAGCGGCAGGTACTTACGTTTCCGAGAAAGTAGCGGCGGTAGTATATTGTTGATTTAGATTCGACGACATCCTGAAGCTAGTAGGTGGCGGCCTCATCGCTCTCGAACTTCTTGTTGTTGTAGGGGATACGAGGCACACCCAATATCCCCCTTACATTGATCACATCGCACACTAATATTTTTACTATTTCGGACACCAGATTTGTCTGTTTCGTATATGTATAATTGTTCAATATTAAAACCACAATAGAATGCTCTTAACAGTTACAATTTTCAACTTAACAGCCATATAGTTGGCAAGAACGCCGCCCGCCAGTGCAAATGTCTCAGACCCTGTTGGAATATAACCAGTCTGTCAATCGGGTCAACCCAAGTGTTGCGTTTCCATGCGTTTCCAAAAGGGTCGCCCATGTTGGAATCGGTGAACGCCCTAGTAATATTGTTGAAAACATCTTAATAACTTATTAAACCAAAGGTCTTTTTATGTCAGAAGAACGGCAGAAACTAGATCTATATATGAAAACTCTTTCAGGACAAAATTTAAAGTAAAACTAAAGATATTTGTAGTTGTATAAAAGTTGCATTTTTCATCGGTCGTAGAGCCGGAAATCCGCAATATTCATCTCAGAACAATGCTTATTTCACGCAGAATCGTTAATAAACGTAAGATTTTTATACGTCTCAAGAAAGATAGAAACATAAATTTACTTTAATCTAGTTTTACATAATCTAGTTTTACTTTAAATTTTGTCCTGAAAGAGTTTTCATATATAGATCTAGTTTCTGCCGTTCTTCTGACATAAAAAGACCTTTGGTTTAATAAGTTATTAAGATGTTTTCAACAATATTACTAGGGCGTTCACCGATTCCAACATGGGCGACCCTTTTGGAAACGCATGGAAACGCAACACTTGGGTTGACCCGATTGACAGACTGGTTATATTCCAACAGGGTCTGAGACAGTACACATGTCCACATCCCAATGCCCGCCCTTCCAGGACTGGGGGTGCGGGGGTGTACAATAAACTATACCCACCTCCGGCGGCAGCTTGTCGAAGGCGGAAGTGTAGCCTAGACAATTTGTCATGATAATTAGTGATGGCTCTTATTTTGATTATGGGTCCGTAATCCAGTTAAGCTTTTATTCTTAATTTATATTACAATGCTGGTAAAATACACTTCTTGATGATGAGTATGGAGTACAAATGAACTCATTGTGTACCCAAGTTCAAGTTCAAGTATGTTTATTGAGATAAGCAATAAATACATCTCAAAGGGATAGAGTAGCTTAGGCTATTTCAACCCCCCTCTAATTCAAGTCCCTCAAGGGGCGCACAAATGCTGTGAGTACAAATAGACAAATAACATTACAAGAATCCAAACAAGAATTGTGTACCCTATACTCACAGGATGAGTATAGGGTACACAATAAACTACCACTCACATCATGGGTATGGGTTGCACAAGAAACTATCGCGCAGAGGATGAATATGGAGAGCAAAGTAAACAAAGATTCACACGATGAGAAAGGGTTGCGCAATGTCCTATGACTCACAGGATGAGTATTAGCTGCACAATAAACTACAGGTCACAGGATAAGTATGGGTTGCACAATAAATTACAGGTCACAGGATGGGTATGGGCTGCACAAACTACCGGTAACAGGATGAGTATGGGATGCACAATAAATTACGGGTCACAGGATGAGTATGGGTTGCACAAACTACTGGTAACAAGATGAGTATGGGGTGCACAATAAATTACCGCACAGAGGATGAGTATAGGGTGCACAAACTGGTTGGGTAAATGGAAATGGTTGGGTACATTTCCTTTCACCTAATGCGACTATTCATGTGTCCGGACACCGGCGATTGTGTGGTATTGGCTATTTATTTAACCATAACTTTGCATTCATTTAATAATTATATTAAGATATGTTTTCCTTGAAATGTAGTTACATTATCGTCTACATGTCTTTATTCTGACATAAAGACCTATGGCGTTACTTTGCATATATGCAAAGTAATTATAAAATTGATTGGCTTGTGTGGAGGCCTTCACACTCCCTGAGCGAGCCATCAAGTAACTATAAAAAGGCATATATCTTCACTTTCACTTCAGTTATATTTATGCCAAAGTATTAACATGCAGCTTATATTTATGTCTTTATGATGACATAGAAAACTTCGTTTATTACAATATCTAGATTAAATTAACATTGATCTTCGGAAGGTCATAGTTCCCATATCGGTAAGGAGAGCGTCGGCCATGAAGCCTTGTTTAAAGTATGAATATTTTTCCTCTCTAATAAGGTATAATCTCTGTGATGGATTCACAAAAACTATTTTATATCTGCCTTTCTGATAACATATACAAATATAATCTTTATTTGTGAATATTTGTTAATTAAGCAATATATCAGAGGGCGTGTAGGGTTCGGTGTTCAATGAACGAAAAGGACTGGATCACTGTGTACAGGAGGCTGATATGGCAGCAAACACTCTCCAGGCGACCATATATCTTGGATAAGTCGCTCCACACAATTGTCGCTTGGACCGTCGACTTCCTATGGCGTCACCTCTCACATATTTACGTCTCATTTCGTTATGAAATTAGATTATTTCAGAGTAAAAATAGGTTTGATCATGTTCTACGTGTAGCACCAACATTATAGTAAGTAAATATACCATATTTCTTCATTATCCTGCCAATTACGTAATGCTAGGACGATTTGTGTAGTTTTGGGCCGATTTGTTGGCTGATTTGGGTAATTCTATGGACCGACTACCGCCTACAGGATGGGGCATAGGATCCACACAGCCCCTCCCCCCTTACGTGATGGGAATAGGGACCATAACACCCATAGAACGGATATTAGGTTCAATACTACCAGCACATGTACTCTGTACCACCACGTGCACCCTGTGCTGTGCTTTGTCGAATAGGGAGCTTTATGTCAAGAGGACGAAAGGTATTAGTAAGATTTTTTAGTTCAGATATGAAGGGAAGGCAGAGCACAGTGCTAAAAGGGTTGGAAGCAGGTTTAGAATGAAAACAAATTTGTTTAGCTTGAGAACAGGCACAGTTGATAACACAAGATGGGTATGGGGTGCCTAATAAATGAACTAAACTAACTAACTTGATAAAATGTAAAGAGTAATCAAGGCGAGAGAGAGATTTGTAGATAAAGGAAATTTCAGAATCAAGAAACTGTGAGTGTCACTGATGCGTAAGGCGTGGAGGAAGAGAGAGACGAGGACACTCTTCTTAACAGAAGGAGGATGGTAAGAAAACAAGTGAATGTACATGCCACTATGCATGGGTTTGCGGTAGACAGAGAAAGAGAACCCGGACACAGAACTGTGAACGTTAACGTCAAGAAAATGAAGGAGGAAATTAGATTCCCATTAGATTACTTAATGCCCTTGCCTCCCTCGTCTCATCTCAATCGACTTGATAATGGTCCAGGACCCCATACCCATCCTGTGAGCGGTAGTGGACCCCGTACACATCCAACCCCATTAGGGTTGGGGACCCCATTAACATCCTACAGGTGGTAGTTGACCCCATACCCATCGAGTGACTATAGTTGTAGACCCTATATCCATCCTGAGGATACACTGGCAGTGTTGAAGGTAGCAATGTTCAGTGTACATGTTCCAAGTAGGAAAACTTGAGAGGCAAGACCGACGAGAGGCATCAAAATCAGAGGCTGGTGTCGCGTTATGTTATACCGTCGTTGTAGATGTTATCTAGTACCCGAGACGGTCTTCGTTGCCTTCCTATCAGGTTGTGGTCGTCTGAGGTGCAGGTTACGTTAAGACAGTTATAAGATTTTAAATCACAAGATAAACATACAGCTTTAACAGGCAGAACTGAAGAGGTTGGAGCTGCAGAGGGCGTGTTGGAAGGAACTGGGATTAGAGCAGAATAATGTTTCTGAACAATGTCGTCCTGGACGTTAATAATTATTATAAAGCATAAATGTCCACACTTCAAGAAGTTAAAATCACTTAATTAGTCATTAACGAGCAATATCTTAAGTCACTTGAAACTAAATATTTAACATCATCCAGTGTTGTGCCAGGAACTTTGGGTTTTCAGATTTAGTCTATTATTGCATATACTGTATATTGTAGTTGTCGAGCAACCATTAACAGTTCTTGACTGACGGACGATTACAACTTCACTACTGCAAATGTTGCTCTGTTGCACCTGTTGTTCTGTTGCAACATTTACAATAGAATGTTGTATTTAGTTTGCGATTTAGATTTTGAAATTAACAATTTCAAACATTCAAGCTGGGGATCATTATTGGTTCATTAGAAACTCGTTCGTATTTCGGTAAGTGAAGGAGTGGTTGTTGGCCATTGATAATTGACTCTTCAGACGCGCAAAATGTTAACCAATGGAATGAGTTTTAGAGTGAATGTCAACCAATCGGCGGCCGAGTTTGCTTGGCTGCTGGTTATAAAAGGGACGATGAGACAGAAGCACGTCAGTGTGTTTTACCTCACTTTTGGTATCCAGTTCCAGGTTCGTCTCTTGAAGTTTAGTTGAATGTGGAGGATCCCCTTCCATGTTGCGCACCGCCCGCCCCGCCCCTTCCCTCCCTCCCTCCTATGTTGCCCGCCACCCGCACCTCCCTCCTATGTTACGCTGCCCCCCCTTTCCTTTTCTCCTGCTCCCAGTACTGGAACTATTAGTGTACGGTCCCCCTCCCCCCCGTACACTACCACCATTTAAAGATTTTCCTTGACGAATCGAAGGGTGGGTAGGTGTACAAAATGCTGCGTGTGGCATTATAGCAAATCCAAACTGGCTTGTGACGCTCTACCCCACTTGTATTATGCGAGAGGCTAGCCCTTAACGTCAGACCTTAATGTGGTTAAATACATACTATTTTAAGTGTACAATGAGGCTGTGACTCATACATCAGGCTGCGAGCAGCCCGTCCAACAGCCTGGTTGATCAGTCCAGCAACCAAGAGGCCTGGTCGACGACCGGGCCGCGGGGGCGCTAAGCCCCGGAAGCACCTCAAGGTAACCTCAAGGTAAGGTACAATGGGGTTAATAGTTCTTAAGACTACATATTCAAAACTAAATTTAAAGTTTTAATAACTATTTAAATTCAGTAGGCTAGAGATGTAATTAAAGTAGTGGGTAACTAGTGAAGTTTTCTAAATGGCCCTAGGATGTTAATCTTTAGGATGTAAATCAATGGGGTTAATGATTTTTTCCCCCATCAACGCCAATTACTGTATATAACTTTGTCGTGTATATACGTAAATCTTAAAATTGCCTTAAAGTAGGAGAGCACTTCAGTAGATTTTTCATTCATAATTTCAGTTGTAGTTGTGTAAATAGTTCTCTAATAAGAATTTAACGGAATAATTCGTCCTGACCATTGCACCTAAGACTTGACTACCGGTTCGTAGTGGTTGGCACCCCGGGAGTCTACACAAGGCAGTCAGAAGCTTGACACGCTCGCCTCGAGTAAAAGTCAGATGCTAGTCTCGTGACGCTTCCCCACAGTGGATTGTTCTAGTTAAAAAAAGTTCTACAGTATAGCAATACACGTTGACTGTACTGAAGTTAGGACAATATTAACGCTTATTCTAGTTACACTTAATACCCCCTAAACTCAAAGAGCTGGCGCCCCTACGGCAGTTCGTTGTTGCCTTCAACCTCGTTCTGGAAGTTCCCGCGACGGCGCTGGAACCAAGCGTATTGGCGTTTCTTTCCATTCAGACTTTAGGTTCCGTGACTTTCACCTGCTGCATGGGTGACAGCTTCTCTCGTATCAACCTACCCTAGCTTTGCACGTAGAGGCCACTCCGGAGCGCAACTCCATAGTATCCTGAGACTGAATGCCTAACGTGTGTCAAATGTAGACGGTTGACAAGCTTTTACTCTAGTGTAAAAATTTAAAATAAATGACTGTTCGTAAGTCGGTTACCACAAAGGTGTAGCATTAATGCTTAGTTTTTTTGCTTTGCAACACCCCCCCCCCCTTTAAAGTTTGTCTCGGTCATCTACAAAACATCTAGGTTATCTAAAATCCTAGCCTAGAAGCTTAACAAATGATTTATTACCTTGGCTTGTCTTGGTAGCCATATTCTTTAGTTCATATATTATGCATCCCATAACTATCCTGTGGGAGGTAGTGGAAAAGGTTAGAGGCACATAATGGGCTCGGACTGAACCCCAGGTTCATACACCAGGGTTGTTTAATTACTCTTTAGTCGTAAAATAGTATTAAGTTTCAGATTCCAGAATACTTCTACTTAAAATACTGGTGTGGGGGGGGGGGGGGTCTGGTGACGACTACATAGCCCCAAACGGCTTCCTGAGGTTAGTCTGAGCAAAACCATTTGTCTGCACTAGTTTTCGTCTTCTAGTTTCCCAAAAGTCCTTCAGGGAAGTCTCTAAGTCTCCAAAGACACTAACCGGTTTAAAAAAAATTCCCAGTTCCATATAACTTCCAACAGTTCACTCTTCAAACGGCACTTTTGTCCTTCCAATCCCTTCGTGCATTTAAGGTACCCCAGCTTCCATTCGCCCCTCAGCCCCAGCTTAATGTGTGGGTCTTAAATGCCACAATTTTCCACTCCATCCTGTGGAATATGTGGTAACAAAGTAAAATGTTCTAAGTTTTTGTTAAACTCCCTAAATCCCATAGATCAAACTAGTAATGTGCTTGGAGTACCAAAGATGCAGGTTAGAATCCTCAACACTGCTCTTGATGTCCTTTTTTAGGTTGGCAGAGGCTTCCCGCTAGTTGGTATCAAAGACAACAATAAGGAAGACTTCACAAAGAACGTTATCGGCAGAAGTGAGTTTTGTTAGTGTTTAACATGATCATAAATTATTGAAATACATGTGCATTAAATTTGTATATATGGTCATCCTACTGAACTAATTTACCAACTGGCAAAGTTTTCTAAAACTACGTAATTGTTTTAGGTGCGATCCAGTTCATGTGAACAAGCGGCAACGAACGAGGCACGACGACCTGGCGGTGGTCATCCAGGTATTGATCTACACAAACTGCTTTCACTGGAGGGTCCGTATGGCTTGGTTTTACTTTATTAATTTGTCATACCTCTCAACTTATCACATACTGGGGGTTTGGTAGATTTAAGTGTAGGTTACTCATAAGGGCTGTAAGGAGGTCTGAAAAAGTAAGAATTAACTTATCACAGGTCTTAAGTCTTAACATCAGAGTTATCCTTTAATAATAATTCTCCTCCCCAGGCTCGGGCAACCACAGCCAGGCAACGAGGACTCTTGGACTACTGAAGAACATGTAGAGGCTTCATAGTGGCACGACATTGCCTGTCACCAGTGTCTCATCTGAGACTAGCATTTGATATTTTGCCAGAAAATGGCCTAGGTTTCAAGAAGTGTAACTTTAAAATATTAAAATTTTAAACTAGCTCTTAATCTTCTAAATACCTTTTATCAGGTCTCTAAATGCTTCGTGTCTACACAACTTGCCACTAAGAACCTGAAGTGTTGCTATTTTTTTGTTAGAAAAATAAATCATAATCTTCGGTTAAGAAATTGGTGAATCGAATACTTTTGATATCGTTCGCCTTGTGCGTTTCTGTTCTCTTATTGGCATTCTTGGTGATATTTAGCGCCCTCTGATTATTTCGCACTTTGATGATACTATATAGCCTTCCCGGTTTGGTGCCTTCTTTTGATAACTACTTAATTGTACACAAATGCATAATTAGAACTCGTTAATTAGTTTTAGGAAGATAATGAGAGAAGTTTTACATGAAATTCTAGAAAGACGTTAAATAGTCTCGGAGGGATGTAATTTTGTTGGCCTTGTTCCAAATTTTGTGATGCACGCATGTTCAATGTTGAGCTTGTTCAATCTTGGTTTCAATTATGAACTAAGATTTTTACATTACTAACGGATATCCTTTTTACTTGGTTGAAGGAGACTTTCTATTTTACTGTTTTTAAAGATGCGACTACCACAAAAGGCCTGGCAAGAGTAACGTCAGCCTCGTAAATTGCATATTACCGAGACCTCACTCGCTTTAGTTTATCCCCGCCCACTAAAGGGCAGTGACCCACATTGTGAAAAACCCTGGAGCAAGAGTACGGATGCTTGGGATTGTCACCTAAAACGGGAAATAGTTTCGTGAACACTCCCGCTGGTCTCCTGCGTTGTTCCCTTATTGTTGACTATTAATCCCAGCTCTTCAAAGATCTCTGTGTTGAGTGCTCTAAGGGCCTTACCCTCCTCCGGGTATTGTCCCATACTTCTTGGGGAGCGAATAGGCGCGCACTCCTTGCTTTACATTCCTCTCTCGTACTTTCTAAGCTCTATTATGGTTGCCCTGCTTACTCGTCTGCTTCTACTCTTCGCCGTCTTGATGCTTTGCACCATACTGGGTTGAGCCTCAGTTCTGGCGCCTTTCGTTCGACTCCCGTCCTCGGCTTGTATGTTGACACTGGCTTCCTATCTCTCCACGACCGCCGTGATCACTACTGTCTTCCGCTATCTTGCGCGGTCGTTGCAACATCCTTCCTCTCGCCTCTGTCGTGCTTCAACTTTTACCCCTCCTGGGGTTCTTGTTCCTCTTTACCACCTCCCTCTTTCTGTCCGGTTATCTCGCTTACAGGATTCTTTCCGTTCGTATTTCTAATATTTCTCCTCGTGTTCCTCCTTTGCCCCCGTGGAGGGTTCCCCTTCAGCAGTTTTGTACATCCTTGACCCACATTACTAAAGCTTTTACCCCTCCTACGGTTCTAAAACGCCTTTTCCTTGAGCACTTTTCTTATCACTCCCACTCCGTTTTTGTCTTTACCGATGGGTATAAGTCTGCGGACGGTGTTGGCTACTGTTTTTCCTGATCGCACTTGTGTCGCTTACCTTCGGAGACTAGCATCTTTACAGCGGAGCTTTATGCTATTTTCTCTGCTCTTCGTCTCCTGCTTTCTCGTTGTCAGTCTTCCTTTGTAGTTGTTGTTGACTCTCTTAGTGCCCTCATGGCTCTCGGGTCCTTTAATCCGGTTCATCCAGTAGTTATCGAGATCCAGCATTGGCTGTTTCTTGTTCACAGTAAATTTAAGTAGGTTGAGTTTTGTTGGGTTCCAGCCATATTGGTGTCTTTAAATGAGCGTGCGGACGCTGCCGCCAGGGAAGCTGTCCGCTCTTGTCCCATCTCTCGTAAAGGCATTCCTTATTCAGACTTTTACCCAGTTATCCATTCCTCCATCCTTACCCGTTGGCAGGCTTCTTGGTAGTCTGTTACTGGTAACAAACTACGTTCTCTTAAAGGATGTGTCCTCGTGGCCGTCCTGCTACCACCGTAACCGGCGTTGGGAAACCGCTCTGGCGAGGTTGTGTACTGGCCATACTCGCTTAACCCATGGTCACTTTAAGGAGCAGGGCGGCGCTCCATCTTGTCCTAATTGCATTGTCCCTCTTACGGTCGTGCATGTCCTTCTTGAATGTCCTGACTTCCAGGACGAGCGTGTCTTGCTTTCCGACCGCCCCTCGCGGTCACCTGTCCCTCAATAGAATTCTTGGTGACTGATACTTTTGACATCGTTCGCCTTATGCGTTTTTGTTCTCTTATTGGCATCCTTGGTGATATTTAGCGCCCTCTGATTATTCCGCACATTTGATGGTGCTACATAGCCTTCCCGGTTTGGTACCTTCTTTGATAATTACCTACTTACTTGATCAATGGTCCTAGCACGAATCTTCTATTTCTTATAATGTTCTTCACTTTAAAAGGAAGTAGAAAAGTTAATTCTCAAAGTCCATTTTGCAATTTGGCCTGACGCTAAAAGGAGTTTTTCAGCCTATCGACTTTTTTAAAGGAACAGTTTAAATGAATAAAAGTTAGCTGTTGTTGTTTAAGATTCAGCTACTGGGAACTAAACGTGCCAATTAGCACGGGCTATGGTGAGCCCGTAGTGGACTTACCTGGCACAGGAGCGGGGCTGTAACTAGCAAGTTAAGATTGATTGATGAAGATTAAGCCAACCAAAAGGTGGCACGGGCATGAATAGCCCGTAAGTGGTGGCCATTTTAAGCCATTACCAGTATCAGGAGCTGATACTGGAGATCTGTGAATGTGCGACTGCACCCTGCGTGACAGGAGATGTCTCCCGGACCAAATGGTGACCAGATGGTGTCCGAATGGTGCCAGGTAACTGACGTTACAGAATATATATTAAAGAAGAAAGAGGTGAAGTTAGTTGCTGACAGGAGCATTAGGCGAGGTGGATATTCATGGAAGAGACTTGGTGCCTCCCCGATATTCAGTCCTCGCTGTTAGTCAGGGTATCTGGTGATGACCTGGTCTGTGTGTAGAAACAATAAGTTCTCTGACGAAGCCTTGCTGTTTGTGCACCTAATTTCACCCCATCCATCCATCCTTGATATACATCTTGATGGTTTATTTAAACTCACAAGTCTTATAGTATCATTTATGCTATTTTTTAACTGTTGCATAAAGTTAACAATGCCTATCATCTGGACACTGCAGTATACATGTCCAGATGCATTAAGCCCAAACAACTATGGTAGACTCATCTGACGTGTCTATCCGAGGCTTTCATTATTGGAAGGGATCAACGCGGATGTCAATTTCCGGAGCGATTTGGACCACCTGGTCAATCCAGGGCATGGCTTGGCTGACGTCCGCGTACACCCCGGGGACCCCCTCAGTGCCGCACCCGATACCCCACGCCACGATGCCCGCCTGGAACAGATTGATTGATAAAGATTAGGTTACCCAAGAGGTAGCACGGGCATGAATAGCCCGTAAACCTGATCCCTCTGTTGACCCAACAATAAATAGGTATCAAGGAGTTAGGCAACTGCCCAACTCCTTGAGAACTCCCAGGGAACTCCCAGGGCTGCATCCTGGGGAAGATCAATGGTCTATATAAATCTCAATAAGACTAACTCGTTTCCCGTACGACATTGGGAAACCGTATTCTGATAAAAACACACCAGAACATATCAATTAGGTTAAGCACAGTTGGGTCTAGTCAGTCATTAACTGGATGGGTTACCATATAGACTCAACCCTGATTTTAGTGTGGCAACCTCAATAAGTCCCCGTCCTCGACATTTGGGAATAGAGAGACTCACATTTTCATTGGGTTTGGTTGTTAAGACTACTACAATACCTTTCAGACCAACCAGCTAGCATATTTTTGTCCTGTAAATTCACCGTACGAATACACACCAAGAAATATACACCATCTCATGGCTTTTAGAGCGCTTCCAATTCACGCTGGAACTTAAACTAAATCTGCTATCGACGCATTATATATAACCAGTATACTCACCTGGACGTAGTGGTTGGGATCTCCGGGTTTTGGGCAGACGAGAGGAGAGCCTCCGTCACCCGTGCACAGGTCCTTGCCTCGCTCCCCGCCAGCGCACATGAAGCTCTGGTCCAGGACGAAGCGGGACCCCAGGCGGGTCTGGCGCAGCGCCGCCTCGCACGCTCCGTGGTTCATCGCTGGCAAGGTCACCGTCTTGAGGATCTGCGAGGGTGGTCATCAGAGGTGGAGGCACAGATAAGGTTTCGAATTAGCAGATTCATAGAACTCCTTGATTGCATATGCTACATTTGTACACAAATATGAAAGTTTGCCTAGGCCTTTCGTCCCACAGGACCTTATCAGGGTGTTATAATGATGTCTTCACCAGAGCAGGTCATGAAGGTAATGAGGTCAGTCAGGTCATGTGTTGAGAAACGCAGTCAGATATTTATATTAAATTAACCAGTAGGGTTTTAATTTGTGAAGTAGTGTATTTTTTTTATAAAAAAATATGAATTAATTACCCTACAAACACCAATGAATATCGACTGCATATTTCCAGTCAACCACAAGAGAACCACTATCGGGAACTACCACCATTTCACAACCAAGAATTCATAACACCATTATAACCGCATACGTAACATCACACGTGTATCATTTGTTTGCTAAATCTACATTTGTTTAACGGCTGCGAAATCAAACTATATCAAAATAAAGCTTCATTTTTAAATAGTATGAAGTAATCATTTACGTCGCTGTCCACTAACGGTCACCCAACATTAAAGTGCATCATATCACAATTATAACTTCTGCCAATCATCAACAAATCTAATCATTAGTCTGTATTTAATTATTTAAATAGTAATTTACAATTAACTTCACTCATTTGTAGCGTGAAAATGATCCCGACCAAACGCACAACACTAAACTTGTTGGTCCTGTGCAGAGTATATTTGTATACTCATTACCGGATGTATTGGTTCTGCAACTGGTACGACATCATTATGAATAAGCTCTGTTCCCCGAGGGACTTCTCACTCGGCTAAGATTGTCCTGTTCTCGTTTATGTACGTAAATATTGTTCTCCGCAGAGAACAGGTGCACTGTACTCTGAGAGAACTCC